CGCGTCGCGCGGGGGCACCGCCGTCATCCTGGACGTGAGTACCGGTGCCCCGACCCGCCCGAGCTCCGTTCGCCGCCTTGCACCCCTTCCCGGGAAACCCCGACACGGACCCCCGCTCTCGTTCCTGCCTGGACCCGAGCCCTGCCTCTGGGGAGACCCTGAATCGGACCCCTATTCCTGCCGGGACCCTGAGCCCTTCCTCTGGAGAGACCCCAAGACATGGCCTCCCCCCCACCTCGTTCCTGCCGGGACCCCAAGCCCCTCCTCTGGGGAGAGCCCGATATGGACCCTGATTCCAACCTAGACCCTCAGTTCCTCCCCTGGGGAGACCCCGACTCCTGCTCGTGGGGGTGGGGGGATCTTGACAAGGACCCTCAGGGAAGGGGCCACAACACAAACCCCTGTGCCTGTCGGTACCCAGAGAACCCTCCTCTGGGGAAGAGTCCCCGACATGGGCCCCTGTTCTTGCTGGGACCCTGAGTCCCCCGCTTGACCTGGAGGATCTGTCCGCTCGGTTTTGGCGACTCAACGACTTAAGACAGGACCCTCCCCTGGTCCCTCACTGCCAGGCAGCATAAGGCCCTCAGCCCCTCCGGGTCAGGCAGGTCTGCACCCCAAGGCCCCTCCCTCCCTATTTAACGGCCCCTCCTCGCACTTCTCAGCTTCCTGGCCTTTCCAGGGTTGGGACTCCGGAGACCCCGGACTCGAAGCAATTTTGACCTAAACAAGCCCCCATTTCTTCCCCAGCCCCACACCCCACTTGTACTCTGTTCCCTCTCGGGCCCTCCAGTCCCGCCACGCCCCTCCCCTCTATCAGGGTAGCTACTTTTCTGAGCCCCTGACAACCCCAGCTCGTGGCCGTGGCCCCTCCTCTTTCAGCGTGGGCCCATCAAGCGTTATCTGTCAAAGTCCTTTCCCCCATTAACCCTCCCCCGCCCCGCCATGGCCTCTGGAAAGTAAGGCCCCTCCCCACAATTAGCTACTCTTACTTTCCACAGAGGCAGAACCATCCCCATCCCTGAGCGGAACTCCTCAGCGCCTCCCCTTCCCCCGACACCCTTTGCTGAGCCCCCCCCTCTCCCTCCATCCTTGCCTCCACTATACCCTTCCCCCACCAAAAGCCCTGCTCACTTGGAGACCCCTGACTCTGCCTCACCCCACTCCTCTGCCCTCTGGGAAGACCCCCTCCCCTACCCCACTTCTTGAAAGTGGAGAAGGTAGGAGACCTCAGGGTGGATGCCTGGGGGTGACACACCCCTGCAGAGAGAGCTTCACCAGGGTCCCCCCCCACACACACACACACAGTGACAGCTCCTGCGCAAAAAAGCGCCCGCCTATGTGTGTGTGTGTGTGTGTGTGTGTGTGTGTGTGTGTGTGTCCGTCCCTGTGAGAGTCCTGTGAAGTGTGTGGCTGGTGGGAGATGGGGATACCTCTGGGTGGGGGTGGTTCTGGGAGAGTTGTGGGTATGTTTCTGGGTATGTATGGGGGGGTGTATGTGTGCCTACATGCTCATGCATACACACACACCCCTTCTTCCCTGCTGAACCCAAGGCTGGGCTGGGCTGGGGCTGAGACTGGACTGAGGCTGGTCTGAGGCTGGGGATGGGGCTGGGGCCTGGCAGGGAGGGCTGGGCGTGCAGGGGAGGGGCTGCAGGACTGTGAGCGCTGTGTCCCTGGTGCTGAAGTGTGTGTGCATGAGTTAGCATGCACATGCATGTGTATACACACACACACTGCAACAGCTGAGTCTCCTCACCCCCACCCCACCCCCACATTCTATATCCTGGGATAATAGTGATGAACTCTTAGCCTTGGTTTGCCCACCTGAGAAATGGGGAGGCCAACTCACTGGTTGCCATTCTCCGAGGGGAATCCCCAGAGTAGGTGTCCCCCCTGTCCCTCCCCACCTCTGTGCCAGGCTGCATGAGAGGCATGGGGTCCCCCACCAGCCTTTCTCAGGGAGAACGGTGTGAGGTGCCCAGGCCAGTCTGAGAGGACGGTTAGAGGGGGGTTGATCCCCCTTTCAGCCTCCATCACAGGGTTCTTGTCTGTCCCCCAGGAGGAAGGGTTCAGTAAGTGGGAACCCCCTCCCCTGCCTCAGTCACTCAGTAAAGGACAATGGTGCAGGTGTGGCCAGGACCTCCTCCCCACACCCATGGCACCACTCAGCCAGAGCTGGCCAACCTCCGGAGTCTGGGAGGGGCCGTGGCCTGGGTTTCCCTGGATGGGGGGGCCGGACCTCCCCTCCACTGGGCTCCTCAGCTCCCACGCCAGAATGTCTCAGACCCTGGGGACACTGATAAAAAGCAGGTTCCACCCCAGGGAGGCTTTGTGGGCCTGAGATTCTGCATCCCCAGGAATCTCTCCACTGCCAGGCTCTGACTGGCAGTCAGGGGGAACAGGTTCCAGCAGTGACCACACTTGGGGTGCCCTGAACACCAAGGTCCCACCACCGGCTGGGACTGGAGCTGGTCAAGAGGTTTGGGCAGGCCACCAAGTGGTGGTCACCTGGGGGAGGAGGTGGGAGGAGCTGAGAGGAGAGGCCCTCTCTGGGAACCCCAGGCCTTATATCCCCTGTGCAGAGCCCTGTGGGTGTCCCCAGAAAAGCCAATAAGAAAGAGGTGCTGATTCAGCACCCACCCCCACTCCCCACCCTGCCAGCCCAGCAGAAGCCTTCCCACCAAAGCTGCTAGGTTTGGAAATTAGGCTGCCCCCTTCTTCTGACGGGTGCAGCCGGCATGCCCACACTGACTTGTGAGTCCCCAGTCCCTGAACCACCCACTTCTTACCCAGAAATGTGCCCTTCCTGCTCTGCGTCCATTCAATGCAAACCCACCCTCCCTGGAGAGGGAGCCTCATCGTGGGCAATAGTGGGTGAGGGAGGGGTGGTGTGTGTGTGTGTGTGTGTGTGTGTGTGTGTGTGTGTTGGACGCTGACTCCTTAAAGGCTCTGTGTGTCCGCGGCGTGGGCAGGCAGGTTGGCAGTAAGCACAGAAGGAGCGTGGGCGGGCATTGCTGTGGCGGCTGGCAGGGCCTTTGCCTGTACCCCCCCACCCCCACACCTCGCCCTCCTGGAGCCCAGCCCACGCTCCTCCCAGGGGAGGGGGCTCAGCTCCCCTAGCCGCAGGGGAGGAGTGGGACGGCAGCTGCAGGGCAGAATTCAGGGGAGAGCAGTCCATCCCTGGCCTGGCACTGACCCCACCTCTCTTCTCTACAGATCTTCCGCCGAGCGGACAAAAATGGTGAGTGCCCCCACCCCCAAGCCTGGCCTCTTTCTGATGTTCATGGGGAAGGGACAAGGGGGGGATGGGGGTGTGGGCAGCCTTGAACCTGTAGGCCCTGAACACCAGGGCCTGAAGGGGAAGGTCTAATCCTGGCTCTGTGTGCCTCAATGCCCATGTCTGTAAAAACAGCATCCTGATAGAAAGCGCTTCCTCACTGAAATGAAACACTGACAACAAGCCTAACTCATAGCCCTCGCGTCAGTCATGACTGCTATTGATGCGCAGGACAGGGTAGAACTACACCTGTGGGTTTCCAAGACTGCAACTCTTTGCAGAAGTAGAAAGCCTTTTCTTTCTCCCCCAGAGCAGCGGGTGTGTTTGAACTGCCGATCTTGAGGTTAGCAGCCCCCACGAGTAACCTACAGATGTTCCAAAACCCAGAGAGGGTGTTTGTGAGACTGATGCTGCTGCGTCTTCGTTCTCCTTGGCTGTTCACGTCCTATACACTCACCATGGCCTTTAGCTCCCCGGCCTTTAGTTCGTTCACAGTGTTTCCAGCCGCCACATCTGTCCAAGGTCTGACCCATTTTCATCTCCAGATGGAAACGGGCCCCACGAGCAGGCTCCCCACTTCCCCCATCCTGCCTTCAACCTCTCTGGGTAGATGGCTCAGGCCGATGGACCGCACTGAATGTGGTCTTAGGGGTCGGCTCCGTCTCAGGGAGCACTGGGTTTTCGGGTGCCTTGTCAGTTGCAGCAAGTACCCAGACATTGAAGACCACCTCTTTTGACCACCGAATACTCCGGTGCCGGGCAGCCCACACCGGGTTTCTCTGTTGAAGGACACTTGTGGGGTCTCCACTTTGGGGCTGCCGTGCAAAGCGGCGCTGTGGACATGTGTGGGAAGCCGATTCTGTTTGAATGCCTGTCTCCCTCCTAGGGCACATGCCTAGGAGAGGAATGGCCGGTGAGGGCACTTGTACATCCCCGTTCAAAGAACCACCACGGTTGCCCACAGCAACTGTACCCTTTGTATCAACAGTGGGCAAGGGGTGCCCATTGTATTTAGCTGGAGTGCAGCTGAGCGGAGCTTCGGTCCAGAGCCACCCCTGCCCCATCCCTATCCCTATAATACGCTGTGCTCACACCTGTTCCCACCTTTGTCCACACCTGTACCCATACCTGCCACACCAAAGGGTGTGCACAAGCATGGGCACCAGTCAGGAAGATGGGTAGGCACAGGTGTGAGAGTAGGCAGGAAAGCCAGTATAAGAAGTGGTATGGGTACCGTGTAGATATAGTATGAATGCAAGTATGGGAACAAGTATGGGCCCAAGTGTTGACTAGGTGTGGGAATCAATATGAAAACAGGTGTGGGCATAGGTATGGAAATGGGCCGGATACAGGCCAGACACAGATATGGGCATAGGTGTGGGTGTCGATGTATGTGTGGTTACACACAGGTCTGCATGAGCATGCCTCTGGCGGTAGCCCCTCTGTACACGAGGTGGGGTGTCTTCACAAACAGGATGCTCCGTAAGGCACTTGGTGTGTGTGTGTGCAAGTGAGGGTTTGAGTGCGTGTGTATATATGAGTGAATGTGTATAAGTGCATGTGCATGCATACATAAGTGTGTGTATGAGTATATGTGTATATATGTATATGTGTGCAAGCGAGGGTGTGAATGCATGTAGATTTGAGTGTGTGTCTGTGTGTGGGGATGTTTGTATATATAAGTGTGTGTGTGTGTGTGTCTGCACGTGCTGCCGTGGGCCCCCCCTGGGCACAGTCTCAGAGGGGCTGCAGAGCTGGTAGGTTTGGAGTGAGCTCAGCGCAGCGTAGAAAGCAGCATGTGGGTGGTGGTGCAGGTGCGGGTTCAGAAATGGAGATGAGTGTGGGAACAGGTGTGGATGCAGACAGGAGTACACATTAGTGTGGGTATAGCTGTGGGAGTAGGTACGGGCATAGCATGGGTCCGGGTCTGGAAACAGGTGTGGGAATAGCGTGGGTATGAGTATGGGCACAGGCAGGGAAGTAGGGCCATTTAGGGGTGAGACAGGAGGGGTACAGGCAGGGTGGGTTGACCCCTGCAGGGTCTGCACCAGCCTACCCTGAGCAGACACTCACAGGCTCAGCTGCGTCAATGTGCTGATCTAGTGAGTGGTTTCCATGGGTGTCACTACATCTTTGACGGCTGGCAGACACATGAACCTGCCCAGCAGGTGGATGGGAAGGCACAGGGGACCATGTGTGCCTTGCTTCCTGGGTAACTGGTTTGACCCTGATCCAGGTGTGGGGGTAGGTGTGGGTACAGGTATGGGCACAGGATAGGTCCAGCGGTGGGAATAAGTGTACAAGTGTGGAAACTGGTACAGGACTGGGAGGAGGTGTGGGAATAGGTCTGATATAGCTGTAGCACCACAGGGTGTTGGACACAAGGTGACAGTTCAAACCCATCAGCCAGCCTGTGGGAGAAAGACGAGGCTCTCTGCTCCCCAAAAGGTCCCCAGCTTCAGAAACCCTAATTAGGGTCACTGTGAGTACCAATAGCATAGTGGGTTGCATGTTGCGTTGCCAACCGCAGATCAGCAGTTTGACCCCAGCAGCTGTTCTGTGGGGAAAGATGAGGCTGTCTGTCCTGCGGGTGTGAGTGGTGGGAAGACTCCAGGGCAGTGGGGTGCATGCACAGGCACACGTTCAGTTTTCTTCCCTCAGCCCAGAGTCCATGGGAGCATCTCCCTCGGCAGTGGGTTGCTGGGAGCTTGACCCCCCAGCCCCGGGGCTGAGGCTTGGTGGGGGCAAATAGGTTTCAGCAGGGCTGGTGCAACTGGGCTTCAGAGCCTACAGGAACAAGGGCTTGGTGGTGACTCTGATGACAAGGTACGGCACATGGTGGCCAGCGGAGGGGGGGAGGGTCAGACGTGAGCACCCACTCCCCACTCTCTGGGGACAGACATGAAGGCCTGGCATTTTCATGATCACCGAGGGAGGCTGGCCTCAGGTTCATTAGCGGAGACACCTGAGGGAGGCTGGCCTCAGCTTCATTAGTGGAGACACCTGCCAACAGCGACGGCTGTGGGTAATTGGGCCGGACCCTCATTAGCCAAGTAGACCCTGGGCCACACGCCTGGTAAATGTCAGCGAAGAGGTTCTGTGCTCGAGGGGGGGTATTGGGTGTCGTCACCACTCGCTGCCTGGCGGCTCTCCAAGTTCACAGGGCACAGAGGCAGGGCACCCACTGCTCAGGGAAGCAGGCGGGAGACGGGCTTGGGCTCCCCAGTCTGTCCAAGGTGGACGGACTGTCCCCATGGAGTCCACACTGGGCCTCGACTGGCCTCCCCACGCAGCTCTGTGCCCCACATGCAGATAGGACCACTTGCTGGCTGTGCTTGACCAAAAGGCAGGGAGCCCCCAACCAGTTAAGTGGAGCCTCCTGCCTCCCACAGGCTGAGTGTGTGGACGAGGGACCAAGACTGCCTGCCAGTCCCTTTCCACCTGTGGGACCTTCGGCACTCAGAACCTCAGTTTACCTCTCAGTGAAATGGGGGCCAGAGTACCCCACCCCTGGGCCTGGGGCCCCAAAGGCAGGGCATTCTCTCTGAGCATGCTCCTATTGGGACCGCCAGCTGTGAAGGTCCGTGCAGGAGGCTGGGCTTCAGGGGAGGGGCCTGAACGGCCCATTCCCCCTTGACTTCCGTCTTCTCTACGGAAACAGCTCCCAGAAGAAGGCACAAGTGGGTGGTGAGTCCGGAGAGGGTGCTGGCTGCAGGCTCGGGCTGGTTTCCTGGAGGTCGCTCAGCCCAGTGCGTGCAGGTGGGGGAGGCTTGGGGACAGGTTCCTGTCTGGTCACTTGTTTCACTTGGGCCTGGTTTGGCCTCAACCTCCGAGACGTCTCTGAGGGAGCCAGGTGTGTCCCCAGCACAGATTGGTGCTTAGAGCACCGCCCACCCTCACACCGAGGAGAGGGGCTTGAGACCAAGGAGGGTTGAGGGACGTGCATGGTACAGACCTGGGAATCCTACAGGACCAGGCAAAGGTTTGTCAGACACAGCCCACCCCTGCCCACCCCCCCACCCCCCAAGCCTGCTCCTCCTGCCCCTGTGGTTGCCCTCTTGTCTGCTACACTTAAGGCCTGGGCTGCAGGGTGGTAATGGAGAGAGGGAGCCGTCTGCTCTCAAGTCAGCCCCCAGTGGGGGGCTTGAAGCTATGCCGCTCAACCAGAGTAGGGGTGGGCCGGGAATGCTGCCCAAAGTCAGGGCTAGGGAAAGCTTGGGACAGAGACTGCCATGGGGCCGTGACCCCACATGTGGCAGAAATAGTGTGTGATTAACCAGACCACCTGGCTTTGCTCTCAAGAGGAGATTACAGCAATACGGAGCCTCGGTGACGTGGCTTACAAGAGGACGTGTTGCGCCTCTCACCTCAAGGTGGGCGGTTCAAACCCACCAGTTGCTCTGCAGGAGAAAGACGAGGCTTTCTACTCCCGTAAGGAGTGACAGCCTCGGAAGCCCCAGGGGCAGTTCTGCCCTGTCCTGTGGGGTCGCTGTGAGTGGGCATGGGCTCAGGGGCAGTGAGGTTGTGGTTGGCTGTGGCTCCTCAGCTGTGTCTGCCGCTCGTGCCGACCTCATTCACGCTGCCTTGTTGGGTGGAAGACAAGCTGTCGACAGGTGCTGTACGGGGGATGAGCGGGGTGGGTCGGGGTGCCGTGTGGCCTGGAGTTGACCGGTTTGTTTGGCAGCTGGTAAAAGGGAAAAGGGCTTGTTGCCATCGAGTCCGACCCAGAGCTGCCTCTGTGTGTTTGCAAGGGGGTGACTCTCCTTCCGAAGGCAGCTGCCCCGACTTTCTCCCGTAGAGAGGCAAACCCCCAAACCAACCCACAGCCATGTAGTCGATGCCAACTCACAGCGACCCTACAGGACAGGGCAGAACTGCCCCGGTGGGTGTCTGAGACTGTCACTCTTTATGGGAGTAGAAAGCCTTATCTTCCTCCCGAAGGTGGGCTAGAACCACTCACCCTTTGGTCGCAGCTCAGTGTCTGTCTAACCACAGCCTCGCCAGGGTTCCTGGGGCAGTTCTGTGTAGGGGGCGGGGGTGGGAGTGGGGGTGTCGTGTTTATTCCAGCATGGGAATCACCTGGCCCTGGAGGAGCAGGTGCTCTGGTCCCCAGGGCGCAGTTTCCGCAGATGGCAGCAGTCCCCCCTCTCCCTCTGTCCTTGTAGATGACGGGAAGCTGTCCTTGGAGGAGTTTCAGCTCTTCTTCACAGATGGTGTCTTGGACGAGAAGGAACTGGAGGCTCTCTTCCATACCATCGACTCCGACAACACCAAGTGAGCTTCTGCGCATGCGCGCGCCTGGGGAGGGGGCGTGCCTCGCAAACCCTGGGGCTGGGGCTGCGGGAGGCTGGAAGAGCCGCCAACCTTGCTAATAGCGGGTCAGATGGGTCTAACCCTCACTGCTGGGTCTCTAAGGGGCCCTGATGGTGTGAGGGTGACGTGTTGGGCTGCTCACCGCAAGGTCAGCAGTTCAAAGCCACCACCTGCTCCGAGGGAGAAAGATGGGGCTTTCTGCTCCGGTAAAGAGTTATAGTCTCAGAAACCCACGGGGACATCTCTACCCTGTCCTGCAGGGTCGCTGTGCGTGCGAGGCAGGTCCTTTGGAGACTGGCCCTGGCAGCCATCCTGTTTCTTGTTTTTGAGCAAGGAGAGGCCCCAGGCTTTGCCCGTGATGCTGAGAGAGCCTCAGGAGCAGCATGTTGGCAGGGGCATAGGTCCCAGATCAGTGCTCACCCGCATAGCCCACTCTGCTACACAAGGCTCACCCCTGCCCCACGGATGCTAATCCTGAGTCAAGCCAAAGGGCCCTGATTCCATCCTCAGCCCTGCTTCTGACCCTCCCTGTTGGCCACTGAGGGCGCCCCACTCACAGCCCCCCATGTGGGCAGAGCAGAGCTGGCCCATGAGGTTGCCAGGCTGTGACGTTTCAGGCGTGGATGGCCAGGGTACCTCTCAGGGGATTTGGAATGCCAGCCGTGAGGTTAGTCCAGGGCTGAATCCATTTCACCTTCGGATCACTCTTAGCCCCAGCCCCAGCCACTCTGCATAGCTGCTCTGTGGCCTTCAACAACTCCTCCTCGGCGGGGTTACTGCCGGGGGCTGACTTGATACATTGGGGGTCCCCTGAGACTGGCTGTAGGTGGCCAGGACAAGGAGCTGCCACAGGCCATTTGCAAGAGCCGGCAAAAGAGTACCTGGGCTTGGGGTCAGGCTGTCACTGTCCCAGGAGTGTGGGAGGCTGGGGCTGCAGGCCTGGGGGCAGGTGGACTTGGAACACTCCCCACCACCACCACCACCACCACACCTGCCCCCCAGTCTGTGCGCCTGGGGAAGTGGCTCCAGGCCATGGGTGCCAGATGGAAGTTTCTGGAGACTTCCTCCCACCTCCCAGGGTGCTTTGAAGGGGCTGAGGCCAAACCCTGCTGATCTATTCATTTGGTGGCTTTGTGGCAGGCCACCTGGGTGGAGGGTGCGGGGGCTGTGTGACTGGGGACAAAGGGGAGCCTGCGGCTTTGCTGATGAGAGCCCTTCAGAATGGGCCCCTGTGCTGCCCCCGCCCCCTGACCTGCTGGTCCCCGTATCCCACGTGAGTGCTCCGTAAGCCTGAGCTCCTGGGGAGGGCATCCAGGCCGTCTGCCCTGGTGATCCACGGACACCCAGCAAATGAGCCCTGGTGGCACCGCAGGTGGGCAGTTCAGACCCCTTACAGCTCAGCAGGAGAAAGACATGGCATGGCATGCCACTCCTGTGCAGACTGCTGCCAGCCGATGCCATCAAACGGGTTCCAAGTAATGGCACCCCATTGTCCAGCACTACGAAGCACCACCCCGTCCGCCCCAGCCAGCCTCACCATGGCCTTATGTTCCTGGGCCTGTGAGGGAGCAGGGAGCCCTCACTCAAATCCCCCTCCCGCCATGCACACATCAGGGAGCCGCACACATGCCACGACGAACCAAAACCAAGTCTGGGGGAAGCGGGGCGGGTTTTTAAAAAGTCAGTTGGCAGCCCTGTCTTTCACATGCCTCTGGATGGACTGGAGCCTAGAACCTTTGGCAAGCGTGGGAGCGTGGGTGCCCCTGGGCCCCCCATAGCCCGGAAGGGGGAGCCTATCAGCGCCTCATGTGCACATGACCATGCCCTGGACCGCCCCTAAGTCCGTGCCGGTCTGCCACTCAGAGGCTCCTCCTCCTCCTCCACATGGGGGTGTTGTGCCCAGGTACCCCAGGACCTCACAGGACAGGGGGCCCAGGAGCTGTGTGTCCACTGCACACTGCCCTGACCACTGTCACAGCCCTCCCCACCACCCCAAGCCTGTGCCTTTAGCTCTAGGCCCCACTGTGCCCACCGAGGGCTTGGCAGACTTTGGGGTAGCTGTGGCGGGGTGGTGGCATCAGGCAGCTGCCTCCAGCTCCCTGGGTGCTCCCCAGCACAAACTGGGGGGACTAGTCATTTGCCTGACACCTTGCCATCCAGACAATGGAGTCTGCACATTGGGGGAAGGGGGGAGGGCACGGCTGACATATCCAGATGGCATGGGGATGTGGGCAGGGGATTGGGACAGACCTGCCACCTCTCTCTCTCTTTCTCTCTCTCTCCCTCCCTCCCTCTCTCCCTTCAGCCACGTGGACACCAAGGAGTTGTGTGGTAGGTGGCCAGCTGTTGGGTGCTGGGACAGGAGAGAGGAAAGGCAGTTGGGGGGGCACTGATAGGACAGAAGCCCCCTGAGACCCAACCTTTTCTTGCTTTCATCCCAGATTACTTTGTGGACCACATGGGGGACTACGAGGATGTCTTGGCCTCCCTGGAGACCCTGAACCACTCTGTCCTGAAGGCCATGGGCTACACAAAGAAGGTGAGTGGGGGCAGCGGCTCTTCAGGGTCAGGGCCAGAGCCCAGCTCAGCATCGATGTCCTTCCCCGGGCACCCATGGCCTGGGCCAGGCTGGACTTGCAGCGGCCAGCGACAGTGGGCCTGGCTCAAGCTGGGCTTGGGCAGAGCTTAGAGAGGTGGCTGAGACAAACTGTGGGCAGGGGCAGGGGTGAAGCTCCTTGGGGAGTTCTGCCTTTGGGGCGGGGGGCCTTTTCAGGGTGGCCTGCTGGGTGGGGGTCCTAGAGTGGAGTCTAGTAGAGGTGGCCATGGTTTGGGGCAGGACAGCAAGAGACCCAGGGTCTCCTTGGAGCGGTGATTCTGTCCCGCTCACTCGATGTTTGGGTTCATAGAACTTGTCGCTGTTGGTATTGTCACAAACTGGGCTCTCTAGAGAAACCAGTGATGCTTACGAATGTATCCAAAGAGTGGTTTATAGCCAGGAAATGGCTCACACACTTGATTGTAGCGGCAGGCAAGTTCTAAGTTGGTGGGGTCAGATGTCAAGCTGGAGTCTCATCCTGACTCCGTCAGGTAAACCCAAAGATTGGCAGGTCACACAGCAGGCTGCTGGCTAGAGAGGGAACTGAGCCTGAGGTCAGCAGGTCAGATGGCAGGCCGCCGACCCCTCCCCGCATCAGCAGCAGGCAGTGCAACAGGCTGCTGGCTCAAGTTGAAAGCATTGGAGGTTAGACAACAAGCCAGGGACAGGATCCAGACCCAGCAAGAGCACGCAGGTTTTTGCACAGCATCCACGTTTATTGGGAGCAGGCCACACCCCAGAGGAGATCTCATCATGGGGGGGGGGGGGAGTTATCGTGTTCTAACTGCCACACCACTGAGAGAATCCTGGTCCGGCTGGGCGACTCATGCCCTTCTCTGCCCCAGTTACCATCGAGTTGATTCTGACCCAACAGCATCTCCCAGGGGGTGTGTGAGAGAGAACCGGCTCCCGAGGGTCTTCAAGGCTGTGGTCTTTCAGAAGCAGATTGCCAGGCCTTTCTCCCTAGGCACCTCTGACTAGGTTTGAACTGCTAATTAAGCGAGTGTCCCGCCGATTTTGGCTTCCCAGCACATATCAAAGTTATGCTTCCCCTACACGGAGGCGGCCTAGCGGGTTGTGCAGTTGAGCTGATAACCACATGGTCATCAGTGAGGGGGAAAGACGAGGCCGTCCGACACTCCCGTAAAGACCTACAGCCTCGGAAACCCTGCGGAGCAGCCATGATCCGAATCGACTGAGCAGCAGTGGGGTTGTCTTCTTTCATCATTGGACTCCTTGGCTTTGGTCGGAATGGAGTCTTGCCATCTGCCTCGTCTCTTCTTGCCTGATACCTGTCCCCCGTTTCCATTGTGGCCTGGTGACTCCCCCCCACCCTACCCCCCCCACACACATTGCACAGCCTGGTCATGGTGCCACATCCGGGCACCCTGTCTGGGACCAGGCAGTTCCCAAGTGCCTGGCTCTCGCAGAACGTGTTTGAACCGATGCATTGGCATCATGGTGCTGGAGACACATGTTGCCAGGGTTGCTGAAAGGACAAACTGGTCTGCTTGGAAGAAGCAAGGCATATTGTCAGGAGGGGCCGTCCTGGAGAAGGGCATCGTGCTTGGTCGCGTGGAGGGGCAGTGAAGAGGGAGGCCCTGGACGAGAGGGAGGGACACGGTGGCTGCATCAGTGGCTCAGGCACGGGACGACTGTGAGGTCAGTGCAGGGCCATGTGGAGTTTGGTTCTGCTGTGCAGGGGTCGTGAAGGGTCAGAGCCGACTTGTGGCGCCTAGCAACCACGGCGCTGGCGGCAGCAGCAGCTCGTAGGTCTCTAAGAAGAGCATCGGCACCGGCTCTTGCAGCATGTCAAGAACGTTCCTTTTGCCATCCCTTTGTTAGAGTCTGTCTTGGGAGGTGGTAGTTAATTTTTTCAAATTTTTTGTTGTATTTTTAAGCGATCATATGATCTATTGATGGGGCGAATTCTATTGTTAGCCTGCTCGCATCCTGAACGTTTGGTAGCTTCCTGTGATAAGTCTTAATTGGTGTATTATTCTTTTTCATCACACTGCTGAATCCTAGTCCCCAGATGAACATTTATTCCATCGCTGTCTCTGCCGGGACTTGCGAGCGGATGGTAGTTTGGGGATGAACTATGAGGTGTTTGAATGTTTTCTGGATGTGAGTCAGCTTCTCCTATTTAGAGTCCTTTTTTTTTTTTTTCTGATTCAAAGAGGGGAAGCGCTTATCCATCACTCTTGGATGAGAGGCTATGGACCAGAGAATGGTCCACTGACTATCTTAAGGTCCACCAAGTTCTCATCAGGTGTTTGCGGTTGCATGTCTGTGTGAATACGTGTGGTTCTAAGTCAGATGTATGGGGGATGTTGGTTTTTACGGGTTTGTTAATTGGTTGTGTGTCATGTGCCCTTCCGGTTTTCCAAGTAAATATCTAGAACATCCGTTGGTACAGAATAGGCACTTGGTGTGGACTCCGTTCAGTGAAAGGTCTGCTGTGAAGAGTGTGGGTCTTATTTTTCAAAATGCTCCTATATCCCTTGCTCCTGTTAGGCCAGTGGTCCTCAACCTTCCTAACGCTTTAATGCAGTTCCTCATGTTGTGGTGACCCCCAACCATAAAATTATTCTTGTGGCTAGTTCATCACTGCCATTTTGCTACTGTTATGAATCGGGCGACCCCTCTGAAAAGGTCCTTTGACACCCCCCAAAGGGGTCGTGACCCACAGGTTGAGAACTGCTGTTTTAGGTGCCGTCCAGTGGGCTGTCAGAAGACTGACTCATAGCAACCCGCGCACAAGAGAACAAACGCTGCCCGGTCAGTGCCACCCTCCCTCTCTCGGCCATGTTGCGCCCACTGTTGCGACCAGGAGGTCTTTCCCTCTCATGGACAGTCTGCCCCCTTTGCCCACCCTCTGCTCTACCGAGCAGGGTAGCCTTCCCCAGGGGCTGGTGTCTGCTGCCAACGCCCAGAGCACCTGCCTTGCTTCCACGAAGCATGCTGCTGCACTTCCCACGACTTCCTACGAGAGATTGGTTGGTTCTTCAGGCAGCCGCGGTCCACTGCACATGCCTCGCCAACCCCCGACTTAAAGGGGTCAGGCCGTCTTCCTGGATCACCGCCGGCTTTTGAACGCAGATGAGCTTGATAGAAAGCTCCGTGGCCTGGGTCAGGGCCACCTGAGTCTTCACGGGGACATGTCTGCTTTTCAGCCCCGCCACCGGGGTCTTTAGCAGCAGATTTGCCCCATGGGGTAGATGGTTTGGTGTCCATCTGGAAGCGTTCACTGCACAGCGGTTGGCCTGTTTTCACGACAGCCGGTCCTTTTTCCAACGGCCAGTCCGAGCCATTTGTTCCGAGTGCATGAAATGCCCTCTCCCGTGTTACCGTTTTCTTGTGATGGTTTCCCCGAGTCTGCGGTCGCCAGTATTCTTTTCGGAGCCTCTGATGGCGTTAGGCTGCTGACCGAGAGGTCAGTCGTTCAAAACCAACTGTTCTGAGGGAGAAAGATGTGGCTTTGGACTCCCGTAAACAGTGACGGTCTCAAAAATTCACAGGGGCCGCTCTACCCTGCCCATTGAGACAGCATCGACTCAATGGCAGGGACTTGGTAATGACCGGGAATCAAAAGTAGTAATAAAATTGGAAATAACCTGAAGCCCCAAAAACCAAACTCAAGTGCCATACTGACTTCTTTGTTAGGGACAGGTTATGTGAAGTGGAAGCAGGAGAATCACAGCATCTGAGCCATTCAGGGCTCTTGGACGGTAGTGAAGTGACCGCATGGGACCCCTGCATCCCCGTAGGCACGGGGAATGACTGCATCCTCTTCCCGAGATGTGACTGCTGAGTCATGACAGGTCCTTGTCAGGCATCGCGTCTCGTCTTTGCCTTGTGACCCTTCCTGTGTGAAATGTCCTCGGTCAAATGCTAACCCAACGGTGGCCCTGCAACGTGTGCCACAGCACCGATGACCCTCCAACGTCCTTGTTTGTCCTTGTGCTCCAGGTCCTCGGAGCGGCTCTGGGGACCGCACGGCTCTTGTGTCTGGCCTGATTAAACGGCATCTCCACATAGGGGGATTTCGGTTTCCTCTCTAGGTGGCTAGGATCCTTATGAGGGCATTGGTGACTCCCTGGTGCAGTCCTTGTTTTACCTTGTGGAGGGCCTGGGCTAGATCCTGGCCAGGCCAGCGCACCTCACGCATGGCCACCACCCACCATTGCACCATGGGGGCTCTTGAGTTGCTGGGATCTGAACAGGATTCCGAGGAGCTTCCAGACTAAAACAGGCTGGGAAAACTCAGCAGGGAAAATCCTTCTCCAATCCCATAGTGCCGAGAGGGGAGTGGCCTTGCTGGCTCTAGCAGGAATATGATTGGCATAGCTGGCCACTGGTTACATTGTTACATCACTGCTAACGCTGGTTACATTGTTACACTGCTGCCAGCTTTTGTTTCCTCTCTTCCATAACCTTGTTCTTTGCTGCTGTTGAAAATTACACTGCAAAGCAGGTACTCACTCAGCACTGTCTACATCGTTCCCAATCTTTCTCTCCTCGTCTCAGCAGATTTTATGTTTTAATGTGTCTGCTCTGCTGGATTTTTACCCTCGATGGTGATGGCATTCCAGTTTGCGTTTTGCTAGTGGCTCTTAAACCTTACGTTGGTCTCCCTCTTAGTCTTGTTAGGTAGCCAGTTAAAAGAGAACGATACTCTGTTCTCATTACTGTGGAGCGAAGGGAAGTCTGGAGGTGTTCCGAGCTGCTCCAAGCTGCCTCCCCACGCCTCTTCCTTGCTGATTTAATCCAGTAGACTTCAAACGAAGCTGTTGGCGGTAAAGGTTCCTACTTGCTAAGTGCTGTGACCTTAATAAAGATGCCCAGGTGGCGTAATGCGCTACAAGTCGGGCTGCCAAGTGTGAGAAGGTCCAAAGTTCGAGCCCACCAGCTGCTCTACAGAAGACAGTGGAGGCTGGCTGCTGCTTTAAAGATCTACAGCCTCAGAGCCCCTACGAGGGGTCACTGGGAGG